TATTAGGTGTGGCAACAGGTCGGATCGGGTCGGACCAGACCGGACCCAAACGTGATAAGACCTGAACAGAAAAATAATAAAAAATATAAAATTAAATACTATGTTAAATACACACATGTATTATTTAAAGGGTGCGGTTTGTATAGGGCCTACGCTCTAAACAATCAAATTAGGGCTTACCTTCAAATATTGTCAAAAAATGTGCTTTCAATGCTAAAAATCTTTATGATTGTCTTAAAATATATTTTCATCTTTATTTATAAATTTTAAAGCTTCAAAAATAGTGTAGCTTGACAGATCTATGAAATCTTGAAAATTGACGATTCAAAAATACATTACAAAATACCCTATTTCCAAAACTTGAAATCTATTTTTTTTCTCATGTCCATGCAGTTTGATGTCGAGGTTATCAATTTGAGGATATTTGGGTATCAAAACAACCTCTTCTAGTGAAATTTGTGAGGTAGGCTCTAATTTGATTGTTTAGAGCCTCGGATCTATATAAACTTTTCCCTTATTTAAATATTATAACCAAAATATATAATCATATTTATTTAAATATTTTATATTTAGATACTATGAATAATAACACTATTCGGGTTTGGTACGGATCGGTACCACATGAACCCAGACCCAAAGAGTGTTCTCGTCCAATATTTGGACCAAGACCTGATCCGTGGGTTCCAAATTTTGGACCCATACCAGGACCCATGTTGGGCCCAGGTCCATTCCAGCCCCTATCCATAAGCTTCAATGGATAAGCACGGCTCCTTGCCCTTGTGATCTCTCTCGCTCTCTCTCTCAAGTCTCAACGCACCCTCCATCCTCTCCCACTCCTATAAATAGGGGTGATTCTAGGTGATATTCTCATCCTTCTCTTTTATCAAGTGCTTCTTGCTCATTGAAAATGGCTTCTAAGACTCTTTTCATCCTATTCACACTCTTGATTGCCTTCCTCCTCACCTCTTCTGAGGTTTGTGCTAAGGCGGTCAATGAAAATAAGCCAGAGAAGAAAGAAGTTGACGATGGTAAGTGGTGTCATTGCATTTACAAACACTTTAGTTGTGTATATGCAATGTTTTCCAATAACTTTTGCATAGCTAGTTAGATATGGAAATGCATTAGATGATGACTGTGAAGGTTTCACATCCTTTACTCAAAGTCCACAAACACAAAATGTGAATGTCTTTGTTTGGAAGAACTACGCCTTCCAGCCGTCCGCTGCGATATCAGACGGCTGGGGCGACGTGAAGTTTCCTACAGAAGATTAACAATGCTTAGTTGTATAGGTAAATACATTGACTCACCATGAATGCTATATAAGAACTCCTGAAATAATTGTTAAATTTCTTTTTAAATTTTGCCATTATTTTTCTGACCATTTGAAGATTTGTGCATGCTGTAGCGGCCTAACTATTCTTCTTTGTATCATTCCGAGTTCATCGGATGTCTGGGATTGCATCACTAAATCAAATATTAGCAATTAAATGAGGGATAATTATACATTATGTTCATAAAAACACGCCATAATTGTTCACGATGAAGATTTTTCAATGACTCCAAAAATCTTATTCTCATTTTTTTCTCGCTAAAAAATGACCAGTCACGCATGTTTCACTGTTGCAGAGGAAGTTGTAGATACGGAAGCTGCACAAACAGAGCAATACGGTGGTGGATACGGCCCCGGCTATGGTGGGCGCGGTGGTGGAGGCTATGGTGGGCGTGGTGGTGGATACGGCGGTGGTGGAGGCTATGGTGGGCGTGGTGGTGGATACGGCGGTGGGCCTGGCTATGGTGGGCGTGGTGGTGGATACGGCGGCGGGCGTGGTGGTGGATATGGCGGCGGAGGGCGTGGTGGTGGTGGATGCGGCTACAGACGCCAATGCTGTGGCTATAGGGGGTGCTATTGTTGCTCCCAAGCTGAGTTCGACGCCCTCGCCAAAGCACAAGTGACCACTGTGGCCAAGCCCCATAACTAGACTTTCAGTCTAATTACAAGTCATGTACTTATTATACAGTATCTGCAGTGAATAAAGGGCACTTTGAGCTTGCCCTACCTTAAGGTTATCTATGCATAACCTTGTGCTATGTGGATTTTATATGTAGCCCTTTTGTGAATGGTTTATAAGTATCTTACCTTGTGTCATTGATGATATGAGTCTGATGTTATTTTTCTTTTTCCTTTTTCTTTTTTTTTTGTTATTGCCTATTTATTTTCTGGTTGGAAAAGAGGTATTGCTTTAGTCATGATAAGTAGAGAAAAGTAGTATTTCTTTTGGTTAAATACTTATATTTGGTCTCATATTTTGGATAAAGTTGAGTAGCAACTAGCTAATGGCTTCAGTTTATCAGTTTAAGAAATGATATCATTTCAAACTGGAAATTTTTTGTTCATTTGTATCTAATTTATGCTATAATAAAATAACTGGATTTTTCAATTATTTCAACAAATGTCATATTTTATAACAAAAATGTTGATAATGAATATTCTTCATTATATTCATTCCTTAAATTGTGAATATTCTTTGTTTCAAAATCACTAACGAAAATTTAAGATCAGATATTTCAATTTTAAGAAAGGAGTTTGCCGTCTCACTTTATCTTTAGTTTTGACTTTTGAAAAACAGAATCTAGGAAATTGCTCGAGATAAACAATTATGTACTTAATATGCTTAGAGATAGAGATTGAAAATAGAGATTGAAAAGAAGAATATGATGATCTGTGATTTCTTAAGAGCCAGTTAGGATGTTAAATATAAAGAACCTTCACATTGAAAAAGTTGTAAGCTTGATTGAAATATCTTCTTGCTTTATTTTATTATGTACTAGATTTTTTGGATGTCTTTAAAAATATTAGAAGCAGATTTTATTCATTAATTGTCCTTATTGAACTTCACTCCTTAATAAAAGGGTGCAGTTTGTATTGAGCCTAAGCTCTAAACAATCAAATTAGAGCCTACCCTCAAATAGTATCGAGAAATGTGGTTTCAATACCGGAAATCTTTGTGATAGCCTTAATATATTTATAAAGTTTTAAACTTTAAAAATAGTGTCGATCAATAGATCTTTGAAAACTTGAAAATCTTGAAAATTAACGGTCAAAAAATGCGTAATAAAATACACTAATTCCAAAATTGTTTAGATCCTTTATATAAACGTTTCCCTTAATAAAAGTTTCTACCAACCTTGCTAACTTTTTTATGTACGGGTCTGTCAAAGAAATGTTATAGAAAAGAAATGTAGTTATTCACAATGCATAGAAAAATGGGAAAATAAAGACATATGATTGTAAATAAGGATTTTATCACAAAGAAAAGTATAATGGGATTGAGATTGTTTACTTTTGTACAAAGTGGCCACAATTAATCCTAACCATTGAATGTGAAATTGGGAGGCTGCATTACGCCATTGACAAAATTCAAAGTTCAAAAGAAATCTTCTTATTATAATACCAGCTTCGTAGCTTCAAATTCAATTTCAAGTTAAAAAACAAAAAAAACAAAGAGAAATCCTATACATTT